TATCCAGGAAGGGTAGCGTGTTGTTGTTTTCTTCTTCTCTGGTGAATTTTATTCCTTTGAAATAGGAATTCCTTTGAATTTTATTCCTTTGAATAAAGCAGAACCCCAAGAACTCCACAACTCCTCTATCTGCTAAGCACCCATGTGCAGTGTTGTTGCAACACCAGCAGCAAGTAGATGTACAAGTGTCCAATTTGTACAATGCCATAACTAACACAACATCTGGGGCAGAATTTGCCTCAACCTGTGGCAGTACAGCAACATGTGGCTCAGCCAATGCTCCTGCATTCCTATGGGAGCTTACCAGAGAAATTTGGAGGGGATCAGTATCAATTCCAGACCTTCATGGCTCAGTGTGAAATGTTTATGGCAGGTAGACCAGTGGAGTTTCCTACAGATCACACCAAAGTGACTTTTGTGCTAAGTTTGCTAAAGGAAGCAGCAGCTAAATGGGCCATTTCAATCATTGAGGGAAACGATCCAATGCTGGACAATTATCAGGACTTCATGTGTAAGCTCAATTGATATTTTGGGGACTTCATACAAAGATTCACCGCTAGTCAAGAGATCCAGAAACTCAAGCAGGGACAGAGGAGAGTGAGATCATATATTTCAGATTTTAAATTAATTGCAGGAGATGTAGAATGGAATGACTTGGCCCTGATTGACCAGTTCAGAGAAGGGTTGGCAGAAGATCTAGGAGATGATATGGTGAGGCAAGACTCCCCAAATACTCTGGAAGAGCTGTATCAATGTCCTGTAATAATAGATAACTGGCTGGAAGAGTTGAGGCAGGGAAAAAATGGTAAGGGAAAAGACCTTACAGCCTTTCTTTCCCCATACCTCCCCTCCCTGTGACCTCCTTAGAATCCAGCACAGGAGAGCGCATGCAAATTGGAAGAACAAAGAGATCCCTGTCAACAGGAGAGAAGCAAAGAGAAAGGGATTTGGGACTGTGTTTACTGCGGGGCCCAGACACATAGCCAGAGCATGCACAATAGAAACTCAAGTTCCTGACATAGCAACGAAATGCAAAACTTGTAAATCAATGGAGCACAAAGCCAGCAAGTGCCCAACTTGCTTCAAAGCAGCAAACCAGGGAAACTTTGTCAGCCCCTCTCTCAGGAGCTCGGAAGAGGGGTCCTCAGACAACTAAGGAGAGCTCAGGCAGCCAACAGCAGGCAAGCACACTTCATTATCCCTGTTATTCTTTGTCTAGATTCAGGGCAGAAGATAGAACTCTCTGCCCTTGTGACTCAGGGGCATCAGCTTTCCAATCAGGAAGATGCAAGGAAGTCACCTCTACAGCTGGGCTGCAGGATGCTTTATGTGATCTTGGGGAGTTACTGGCAGAAGAGGGGAGTGACACAGTTGCACCTCATTCTCATAGCCCACACTCAGTTTTCCCTGGGAACTTGGGAGAGGGGACTGAGGCTGACTGGGGAGGTGATGTAATGGTATGTGGGAATGACCTTGGGAGACAGGAGGAAGACCCACAGCCTAGACAATGGTCTGTTAAAGGAAATTTGAGTCCAAAGGAGGAGGGGTGGTGAAAGTGTCTCAGAAGAAACTCTCCCTAGTTTTCAGGACAATAAAAGTGAGGGATGGGAGGGGTACTTTCAGACTTGCAAGATTCTGTTAATGTAACCTTATAAAGACAGAGCTAGTACTCTCAATGCGGTCACTAAGCAATTTGGTTGCTAAGCAGAAAATCATGTGACTGTGACTGGGCTTACAATCTTACTTCCTCTTCCGTCATTAAGCGAAGTAATGCAGTCACTAAGTGAAAAATCACATGACTGCAACTTAGAATTTTATTTCCGCCTTCCATATTGTACAGTATTAACTCTGCTTGTTGCAAGCAAAACTGTGTGCCAGTTGCAAAGCACGCAGATGGCGATAACATACTGTAACTGAGGGATGCTGTGACAATCATAAATATGAGGATTGGTCACAAAGTTATTTTTTTTAGTACCATCATAAGTTTCAACAGTCACTGCACGAGGCAGTTGGTAAATGAGGTCTACTTGTTCTAGAAGAATTTGGTTGTAGCTATTGCAACTAAAGATGGTGCAACCAGTTAAGAATACTTTTTTTACAGATCTGTCCTATCGTGCCAGAACAGAGCATCTCAGAAAATTAGGATGTCTGCAGGAGTGTTAGGTCAGATGACGCTGGCAACTGGGGACAGGCCTTTCATATTTCCTCTGTAGCAATCTCATTTGCATCAAGGTTGCTGAGTGGAAAATGCTTCAACTTCCCCTCCCCCACATTCACAGTGCAATCATACTATTGTATGAAATGCTTTGTGTGTATAGGCTTTCTGTGTATATGAGTGTCCCAAGGTCCAATATGCATGGATGTATGTGTACATGAATGCACGCATAAACATGACTATACATGTGTAATTATCAACCCATTATCCAGCATTACACCCAGCCCTCAGGGGTGAAAGGATTTCCCAGGTCACTTTTCAGTCTTGATGTCAACTATTGGCATTAAAGGAGAGAGCAGAAATTCCTTGATAATCTTATGGACTTCAACAAGAAAAAAATTCATATCTACTTTCAGTGATATCCCACGGAGTTTGGACTGGATAGTTAAGTGGGGAAAAAAAACTTCCTTCATGCATAAACATCTGCTGTAAAAATTGATCAAAAACAAGAATGGAAAAGATTAAAAAAAGAAGTGTTGGCCAGAATAATGTCATTTTTTTCAAACAAATCTGGAATAGTAGTCAGAAAGCACAAAATGTTCTTTACCCTTAATTACTAATAGTTCAGAGTGGCACTATATGGTCATATCTCAAATACTTAACATCAAAAACTTAAGTCTATTATTTGGGTGAGTGATGTTGTTTTCAAGGTTCCTCGATGTTAACATAGGTGTATTTCAAAGACTTTCATGTATCAATGCAGTGCTTACATTTTAGGCAAGTAAAGATTCTGAAAGGCAACAGAAAACAATTGCATGATATGTAAGCACAATGGGTAGAAATTCTGAAATCAGAAGGACTGGCAATGCAACAGATGACTTTGCTCACAGAAGTCTGATTTTTCCCTTTAACATTTAAACTGGAGGCTGAGGCTCCTAAGTCATCTAAACCATGCTATGTTTTCTAGTTGTTCTATATTTTTTTTTTTCCACGACAGCTTGAGAGCAATCCTGGGCTGTATATTTGTAGATCCCAAGAGCCCCTACTTTCTTGCTTCCCACATTTGCTTTTCTTGCACTATGGGCTGCTACTGATAGAACATATACGTTTAAAGGAATATTATACATTAGATCACCAACCCTGATTTTTATTCATGAGTGAAATTCAGCATTACACAAACAGACTTTCTTCCCCTTTTCTCTTCAGCCCACTATGTGCACTCCAAATCTGCTCCAGAGGATTGGGAGCTCTCTGAAGGGAATTTAGTTGGAGGCTAAAACAGGAAGATGAATTGTCCTCTCCCAGTACCAGAGATCAATTAGCACCTAGAAACAACCTATTTTATTTCAGATATAAGCTTGAAGCTATTTGTCTTGGCTTACTTCCAATTGCTTGCTGCTGAAAGTTCTTCAGAAAAATATGGATCCAAAAAATGTTTTTGTTTTGCTCTGTAGTCATGGTTTAGAAGTTACTTCTTGGAATTAGTCTTCCTACTGTGAATCTTGGTCCTGTTCTCCCAACCAGCTGCAGTGACTTTTAGCCACCACTGAAATATGAGTGCTATTAACTGGAACAGACACACTAAAATACTTTAATGCAAGATGGAAAAGATAGCTATTATATCACATACAGAGAGAGGTGTATAATTATTTCAATAAGGGTTTTTTTATTTGTTTTGCTTTGTTTTGTTTTTTGGTGCCTTTGAGTCAGTGTTGACTCCTGATGACTGCCTGGACAAGTCCCCGCAGTTTTCTTGCAAGATTTCAGAAGTGATTTGCCATTGCCTACTTCTTAGAGCTGAGAAAGAGTGACTGGCCAAGGTCACCCAGCTGGCTTTGTGCCTAAGGCGGGACTAGAATTCACGGTCTCCTGGTTTCTAGCTTGATGTCTTAACCACTACACCAAACTGGCTCTCACTTCAATAGGTATATGTGGCATAATTCTGCTTTTGGTTAAAAATGCAACTTTACTTTGGTTTGAAATAGAGGTAGGATTAGATACCTGCAACTGAGACCAAATTACTCAAATTACAAGTAAAATCTAAAATATTCAGCCTTTCCAAATATTGCTTGCCTGTGCTGGAAGAAATGTTTTTCCTTTCCACAGGAGCAGAGCTGCCACTTGATACCATCGGGTATGCATTCCGTGGCCTGGGAAGATTACCTGCCGGAGTGCGCAGCCTGGGAAGAGTTTCCCACCAACTAAGGCTGGGCCATGTAGGAAATGCCTGATATTAGCTGAATGAGAACTTGCAGGATTCTGCCAAATCTGGTGAGATTTAGTGAACTTTAGTGTGATCTAATTAAATATTGCAAGACTGTAACCGATACTCAGGGAGGTTTGTCTGACGTTTCTTTATTATGTGTCTTGATCTCAGTTTGTGGGCATCTGTTGCTGATCAGATTATGGTCACTGAATTTCTGTCCAAGTAATAGCTATTGCAGGCTTTTCCTACTGACTGAAATTCGGCATCCATTTTATTCATGAAGATCAATGCGGGTTTTTACCTAAAAGACAACTACAAGATAATATTAGAAATGTTTTTAATATTCTGGAATATTTGGAGCAACATAATGAAAAACAAGCTGTATTGATATTCTTAGATGCAGAGAAGGCCTTTGACAATTTGAATTGGATTTTTTTTGTTTAGAGTTCTGGAACATATGAACCTTGGAGATAATTTTATTAAATAGTAATGTTGATTTATACTTCTCAGAAAGCACAAATAATTGTTAATGGAGAATTAACAAAACCTTGTGAGATTCAAAAAGGGACAAAACAAGGATGTCCACTCTCCACTTCTGTTCATTTTGGTTCTTGAGGTATTGAATAGAGACATAAGACAAGATCAGAATTATGAGAGTTAAGATTAAAAAAGAAACTTATAGGTTAAGGTCATTTGTGGATGAACTGGGTCAATTTTAGAAGATCCACTACAGGGAGTAGAAGTATTAATGGGAAAATTAAAGGATATTGGTATATTAGCAGGTTTCAAGATTAATAGTCAGAAGTCAAAGATGTTAACAAAAAATATGAAATTAGAAGATCAAATAGAACTGATGGAGAAAACTGACCGTAAGATTGAAAAAAAAAGTAAAATACTTGGGCATTACTATGACAAATATGAATTGTATGTTATTTAAAATAATTATGTTAAGACATGGACTAAAATTAAGGACATGTTAAGATGATAGAAATTAAAATTGTGACTATTGGGGAGAATTTTTGTGATAAAAATGAATGTTTTGCCAAGAATGATGTTTTGGTTTCAGACAATATCTGTTTTGACAATGGATGTACCATTTAAACAATGGCAAAAAGACATACCTAAATTTAAATGGCAAGGGAAAAAACCACGAGTTAAATAGAAAGTGTTACAAGATGCAAAGGAAAGAGGAGGATTGGGTTTACTGGATTTGAAATTGTATTTTGCTGCTTGCTGTTTGGTCTGGGTGGAAGAATGGATGTTGCTGAGAAACAAGAGACTTTTACAGTTAGAAAATCAGGACCTGAAGTTTGGATGGCATGGTTATTTATGGTAAGATAAAGTTAAAATTAAGGTGGACTTTAAAAATCATTTTATTAGATGTGCCATATTGAGAATATGGAATAGATATAAACCCAGGTTGTGCCCGAAAACACCTTTATGGATCTCATCTCAAGAAGCATATTATAGAAGAGAAATGGCAGATAAAGATAATTGGTTGATATACCTGGACTTACTGGAAAACTATGAAGGGGGATTTAAAATCAAATCAAGAGAACAACTAATACCAGTAGGATATAGTTGTCAATGGTTTTCCCAAATGGTTTCCCCATTTACAGTTACTTGAAAGATTTAAAATGGATAAAAAGACTTATGGTATAGAGCAAAATAAGTCAGAATTTGAAGTACAATTGTATACTGATAATGAACATATAATTGCTAAAATGTAAAAACTTTTGCTGAAATTTGAAACAGAGGAAGAACATGTTAAAGGATGTATGATAAAGTGGACTAAGAATTTTGGTTATAAAATACAGATGGATCAATGGGAAAATATGTGGTTAAAAGGGTTGAAATTTACATTGTGTTATGATCTCAAAGAGAATTTTTATAAAATGATGCATCATTGGTACATGATGCCAGAGAAATTATCTAGAATGTATAAAGACACAAAATACAGATGGATCAATGGGAAAATATGTGGTTAAAAGGGTTGAAATTTACATTGTGTTATGATCTCAAAGAGAATTTTTATAAAATGATGCATCATTGGTACATGATGCCAGAGAAATTATCTAGAATGTATAAAGACACTTCAAATGTTGGAAATGTAAATAGCATGAAGGGACATTTTATCATGCTTGGTGGAGATGTAAAAAAGCTAAAAAATTTTGGATTCAAACACATACTTTGATACAGAGGATTTTAAAGATCAATAATCAACTGAAGCTGGAACTTTTCCTTTTAGGATTAATGGACAAACAGAAAAAAGTCATGGAAGATTATTTCAATATATGATTACTGTGGCGAGATTGCTTTATGCACAGAAATGGAAAGATTCGACATTACCCACTATGGAGGAATGGTTGGTGAAATTGACAGATTTTGCTGAAATGGATAAATTGACTTTTTAGATTAGGAAAAACACACTATCTATATTTATTGGTGACTGGAAACCTCTTATGGACTTTTTTGCGTAAAAATGAAAAAAAATGAATGTGTGATTTATGGTTTTGATGATTAGACAGGATAGATTATAGAAAGAAGAGTAATATGATATAATGTTAGAGAGGTTAAAATATATTTGTACTTATAACTGTGAAGAATATCAGAATCCACTTCTTTATATCTTTTTTTCTTTTTCTATTTTTCCTCAACTTTTTTCTTTTCTTGCAATCTTTGCTTTTTCTTTGATTTCTTTCTTTTTCTTTTTTCTTTCTTACTTTATATTAGTTTGCATTAATTTTTATCTTCTTGTTTAAAAGCTCTATAAAGAAATTTTAAAAAGAAAAGCTATATAAAAGAAATTTGGCATCCATTGCAGTTTAGTCAATACAAAAAGTGGTATAGTGCCTCAACAAGTAAGCAACAGTATCTGGATGATGTTTAATACAGTTTTAGGTCCAAACTTAGCAATGGCCTTGCTGTTACACATACTGAGACTGCCATTAAAGCAACTAGATACTCAAAAGGTCATTATAATTGTTGCTTTTGGCTGCTCCACATTTCTTACCCAATGTTAATCTAGTTGTTCAAGTTTTTTCATATTTTCAAAATATGTACAGGCTTGTTAATTATAGGGGAACATAGAATAATAATCCATTTGGAATCTATGTTCTTTCTTATTCTGAAAGCAGAATATTATTGGCGGTATTCCACTGGATGAGATGGAATTAGATATCTCAATCTAATGAATACATTTTGTGTGTGTGTGTGTTGTGCCTTTGAATCAGTATTGACCCCTGGCAACTGCCTGGACAAATCCCTGCAGTTTTCTTGGCAAGATTTTCAGAAGTGGTTTGCCCCTGCCTGCTTCCTAGGGCCAAGAGAAAGTGACTGGCCCAAGTACTAATGCAACTGGGATGATTTAAATCAACATTAGAATTTTAGGAAGAATATTCAAGTAAATGCAACTATTGAAAAATGTTGCCATGAGTTAAGTTCTTTCTTGGTGTGTTTGTACAGTAGATACAACTGTACATGAAATGATCTAAAGTCTGACCACAAACATGTTTTCTAATTCCTACTCCTTCTAAAACAGATACCTAAATTTATATCTAATTTATATCTGAAGTAATATTGGAACTGAATGCTTTTTATTGGATCTTATTTCCTATTTAGTAGACTTTAAATTATTAATATTTACTCTTACTACTATTCTTACCCGCCCACTAAAACAAGTATACTAAATAAATGCATGGGTTAAATAAAAACTCTGCAGATCTCCTTTGGGATAAAACAGTTTAAAGTTGATGATAAATTAATTATAGTGTAGATTTATAACCAACATTCTACTTAGATAAATTGCTTATGAGTACTGTTGGGTATTTTTTTTCCTTACTAGGATTGAAGGACTCAAAGCAATTGATATTCCCCAAATGCTAAGCCCAGTCTTTTCCTGGATGCATACTGCTAAAGCCGGGGACTGGTAGCATTAACTTGAATTTGCATTTCACTAAATTATCAATGTATATGTGAGAACGCTGCTGCACAACACTAAATGGATCAAATCCACCTCTGTTGTTTTATTCTGTAGGGTCTCCATTGACAATCTGCCTGTAGGTTCTTACAAGGCTTACACCTTAAAATCCGGAGTGAACTATTAACTATCTTGACAATAAAAATTCAGTGCAATCTATAAACATCAGCTGTTTCAAACTCTTACAGATTACATCTTTTTTTCCCATTAGGAAACAGCACTGAGTATGAATCATACAAATATTTTTGGCCAGGGTTCTCCAAAAATGTATCACTAGCAGTCTCTTTCCTTGCCATATAAGCCAACCAGTGCTACAGAAGAATTTGTTATCTTTTCATTCTATATTAAAACTATTTTCTACCACCAAGTTTCTTACCATCACATGGCAGTAAATTTCAGCTCTCCACACTTTCAGCTCAGTATTCAGCAATTGGCTTGACCTGACAGTTGACTCAGTATTCAGGAATTGGTTTGAATTGGCAAAAAACTCCGTCATGTTGACTACTTTAGAATCTTTAGAGTAGACAGGAATGAAACTTGCTACACAACGGATGAATGCCCTCTTCAGGACACTTACAAAGAAGTTGAAGCCCTTAAATAACTTTATGCTGTCAAGTCCAGGTTTTTCCTTACTGCTTTCCAAGATAATGTATGTGGCCATTCTCTTGAGGTCCTTGGGAGGCAGTTGAACTATGTTTACAAAATAATACTATCTAGCCTGGGAACTGCTTGTTGCCATGTTACCAGATTCATCTTTTACATTTTCACTCATTATATTGATTGCTGAGACTTCTAAAAGTTATTATAAATTAAAAACTCCACATGCTTTGTAGTACTAATGTTTATTTGGCTAATAAACATAGCAAATCAAGCTTAACTGTTTACACCAGCTTCTCTCATGTTACTGAAAACACATATTCCAAAAAAGTTTATTTAAAATAGGAATTATTTAAGTGGTTACACTAATCTACAATGAGATATCAACAGAATCAGGTCTATATAATAAGCATAAGCATAACAGAACCAAAATTGCACTACATGTCAATTGTTATTGTTCATGTGTATCTTAAATGGAACTGACAAACG